ATTCAAAATAGCTGGATAGATTACTGTTAGTGCGTACTGCTGCCATTGGCAAGGTATATATCAGCTTCACCCATGAAGCAAACTTAGAGATTATTTCATTTTAAGCATCTCTTTCAAGAAGCTCTATGAAAAATGCAACACGTGTGGGCTTTTTTTATTGATGTTTCTCAAGTTGAGGGTAAAGCAAAGCCCACTGCCCGCTCTCTTATGTGTTTTCTTTTCTTTTCTGTTTTTTTTTTTCAAAAACATTGTGGCTGTCAGATGCAGAGGTCTGTGTACAATGCTGCTGAATTTGCTTTTAATGTGTGACCTGTTGAGCAGCTTTCAGGTGAAGCGAGGTGGTTTCCTGTGTCGGAGTGAAGCGTCTCTGACAGCAGCGCTGTAGCTGCGTGTTGATTTAACCTCAGCTCTGTGCGGCTRGCATTGGTCATACACAAGCAGCACACACACTCAGTTATCCCCTAAATGAAATAGCCCCTTTGAGTTAAAAAAAAGAAAAAAGAAAATGAAAAAAGGGAACAAAAACAACTCAAAGCTGTTTACTGCTGGAGTTTTGTTGTTGAATAAGTGATGCAAAGCAATCTAAACCTTTCTGAGATCTGGAGTTTTTACACTTCYGTTTGTTGACAGCAAATAGTTGGAACAAAAAAAGAACTTGGAGGTTTGAGTGAAGGAGAATTTCTTTTGAATTGTAGGATTTTTGTCCAATTATCTCACTATATTAGAACAACAAACCTCAGTAAAATCAGTCAGTCATTGCTAACTGTTAATACAAAAGCATTTAGGATGATGGCAGAACAAAAGAGCAGATAAACACTCTGCATGAGGAAAGGAAGCTGATCCTTCCTTTGCATGTTTGAATGATTATTGTACTTTTGTAAGGTGCTCTGAAAGTCCTGAAGCGTTATTCAAAAATAAAATCAGCATAAAATTTAGAACTCCTCTTTGTCCTTTTTGGTGTTRAGAACAATACAATGCATTAAGAATGTTGAGGTAGTTTCTCATCCACGTGTTGCATCAAGTCTGATTGACCTGAATAACAATGGCCATTTTCACTTTCTCCATTTAGCATTAATTTCTTTGTTTGGTGTATTTATTTAAACTGTATATTTTTTGCCTCTCAGGGCAAAAACAGAATAGAAAAGAAGGCTGAATGAACAGGTTGCATTTAAGTTTTTTCTATTTTCACAGCCCAGAAATCCTTTCAGTCAATCACAGTTTGTTCAAACACCAGAAAGTTATATAAGGAGACAGGCACCAACTTTCAGCCTGCAGGTGGATGACCAATGTCTGACTAACATCAGTCCAGCTGAGGCAAGAAGGATGGGAAACTGAAGCAATATTTTTCTTTTTTTTCAATCCAAGTATTTGAGCCATCATTCTGACTAAAACTGAAACTCTTTCACTTTCACAGCTATATGCCAGGGCAAAAATTCCCACAAAACCCCTTGATATCTTGAGACAATTTTGGTTACAATTAAAATGGGAAAAAAATGGAGAAAAAAAGCAAACACATGCTTTACAGCAGGGGTGCCCAAACATTTTCCCTGAGAGGGCCAAAATTAAAATCAATCTGAGGGCCGTGGGCCAAATGCAATAATACAAGAAATGCAAATCTTTCTTAAGTAAAGTTGTTTTATTTTTTATGATAAAGCTAAAAGCCAGTGTGTTTGCCCACAATTTTTTTCTTTCAGCCCATGGACATGGAGAAAATTCAACTTATGCTCAGGCAGCAAATGCTCATGGGACTTTTCATAATTTAAAATTTGAGTATATGGGGTCTTATAAGTTGTGCAAATCTAGATATGGACTTAAATCTGATCTAAATGTCTCTTGTAGTTACTTGTATTTTATATTTAATTTTATTTAATCTTAACATAATTACAATCTAGTAAACAGGACAACTGCTGGTGGGCCAAATGAAATAGCTTGGCGGGCCAAAATTGGCCCGCGGACCCCACTTTGGGCACCTCTGCTTTTCAGTAAACAAGTTCTCTAGTACYGAGCCCGCGAGGGGACATGGGGGATTTTTTTCTTTTGCGTTTCCTCGCAATACTTTGTTGTTACCTCGCAATGTTGTTTTGCGTTCCCACGCAAAAATTGTTTTGTATATGAACTGAATTAAATCAGACTTTTATTTTGAAATATCCGGTTACCAAAACAGGATGTGTCACCACAAGTTTGTGAAAMTGAAATTGATGTCGCGTTGCTGCACTGTGTTAAAATATTGGCACATGACATAAAGAAAAAGAAAAAAAATTGTATTGGTCTTCTGGACGTGTTCTTCTCTAATGAAACGTTTCGTCTCTTCTCCAAGAGACTTCTTCAGTCTGAGAGTTTCATGACAGGATTCCATGCAACCTTCAGGTGAAAATGAAGACCCCAAACCCAGACCCAAACTAGTGGTTATTCTGTATGTTGCGGGTGTTTCAGAGAAACTGAGATGTTTATTTTCTAAACATGATGTCCCAGTAGCTTTCAAACCCCAAAACACATTACGGCAAAGVCTGGTTCACCCCAAAGATCCGGTGCCCCGGCACAAACAGGGCAATGTTGTATATGCTGTTAAGTGCCAGGAGGACTGCGACCAGTTATACATCGGGGAAACAAAGCAGCCACTGTTCAAAAGAATGTCCCAACACAGACGAGCTACHTCTAATGGCCAGAACTCTGCAGTTTTCACTCATTTACAGGCCAGCGGTCACTCTTTCAGAGATGAGGATGTTCTCATTCTTGATAGAGAGGAACGCTGGTTTGAGAGAAGAGTAAAAGAAGCCATTTTTGTGAAGAAAGACCGTCCATCATCAAACAGAGGTGGAGGCCTCCGTTTTCAGTTGTCCCCCTCCTACAGCGCTGCTATTGCCAGTATCACTCCAACCCCTGTTAACAATAGGTGTTCATTAGGTGTCAACGATAGCCATGTGATGTATCAGTCACATGGAGGCAGGGCTTAAAAGCCTGAATTTTGCCTGAAACTCTCAGAGAAGAAGTCTCTTGGAGGAGAGACGAAACGTTTCATTAGAGAAGAACCCGTCCAGAAGACCTATACAATTTTTTTCTTTTTGATTTTTTACCTGGATTACTAAGATGCATCAGGACATTTGACATACTTCCATGCCTGGCTGTGTGATATATTTATTCTGAAGCTGAATTAAAGCAGTAGGCTAACTTGCTAATGGTGAGCAGGTGAATTTGTTAATAAACCGGCAGGCACAACAGTGTTAAACGACTTTTGTGAGGTAARGCAATACTTTTGCGTGGGCACGCAAAAAGAAAAAAGATCCTCCATATTCCCTCGTGGGCTCCATAACTAGTAAAGTCAGTTTTATACTGTAATTAGGCCTACTCTGACACATTCTTGGGAATCTAAAATTAGTCCTTTTCATGCACATCCAATTTCAACATGAATCAACAGCCACTCCGGCAGGAGTGGCATTCTTCCCTAAAGTTGTGAAATGAAACTTAGGAAAGAATCTTTCCGCCCCCACACGGCTGCACCGGTAACACCCACTACATTTTCCACTCCTACACATTTTTTCCTCTGCCCACGCTAACATCCTGAAACTCCTTAACCAACTTCTGTGATCCAAGAATTCAGCTCATTTACCTCAATTAGCCTCTCAAACATGTGAGCCAGTGGCAGGAAGGAGATGAGGCAATCGTCTTGGTTTGGGAAAATAACTTTCTGCAGAAGACACAAGGAAGGAAACAATCAGAAGGCTTTAAGAAGATATTGGCCAAACAGCTACCAGAGAGAAGCTGCTTTTGACAGCATGCATTTTAGATTATTATGATTATTAAATCCTTCCACTAAAAAGAAAAAAAGAAGAACGTAACTTACATCGGTTACTTTGAGGAATCCTGCAAAATCTGCCACTACGTTTCCATGAGAGAGCATGACTCCCTTTGGGTTTCCTAAAAACACACAGCAACATCAGAAAACAGGTTCCGTACAGATGAAAGAATTTAACTCCAGTTTCACTCCCACGTCATGTTAGATTTATTACCCTCGACTAAATCTTCAAAAGACAGCACCTAATAGTGCGTAAGAAGGGCATAGAGTCAGATAAATGTTTCTCTGATATTTTATTCGCATTTCATGCCTCAGAATCTAAGAATGATTTGCACTATAAAGTTAGTTTTTGATTGATACCATAAAAAGAAAGGAACAAACTATAAACTAMAACATCATGGATCAAATCATGTTTCTTGGACCTGCTGAGACAAACCACACTCCCTCAGACATTTAGTTTAAACCCCTAAAAGATCATTTGTGCTTCTAATCTTTTAAACTCATTGACACACAGAGGACTGTGACATTTACATGATGCAATGACCCTCAAATAAATCTTTTAGATCTGTGTCACGTACAGCTGTGAGCAATCATGTTTTTTTCTGTTCAACTAGCTCAGCAGATGTTGCAACACAAAGCATTTGTGAGAAATCCAGTGTGACTTCTGGAAAACAAAACTTAMGCTGGATTAGCTGCAGGTCATTTTACAGCCAGCAGGTGGCAATGTGCTCAACAGAGCCTGCATGGATCCACTYCTGGTGACTCTGGTAAACTGACACCAGAGTTCTTAAATGACCTCACTTCTGCTTCCTTTTTGTCTGTTGGCTTCAGCGGTTGGCGTTCATCTCAGCCAAGACCGCCCTAAAACAGCAGCTCGGCCTTACAACTGAAGCAAACAAGCCAGGCAGGGTGGGGGTGCTCAACACACAGTGGATGTTTATGTAATGAAAGGAGGTCATATTATCCTCTAAATCTGAGATCACTCAGATGCTGTGAATCAGCAGCATTTACAGGAAATGCTTGGACTGAGGCTCAAAAGTGCCCTCATGCTGAAATGTCTTAACAATTATCCCACTGTCTTTAAGGTTTACTATTGATACAGTTAGGTTCTTAAGTCTATTATGTCAAATAAATAAAAAATGTAGCGCATGCATTAAATAGGGTAATCAGACTTAGATTTTGTATAGTGCAAACTTTGTTTTACTGTTTCCATTACAGCACATGGCCAAACATTTTATCTTCAGCTCAAACAGTAGTGCCTGAATGTCACCATTGCTTTCTGATTTCTTGCAGAMAGGCTATTTTCATGAAGTCACATGGTGTCAGAGCAAAGCAAAACACCAGTGCAGCTGRTCTGTGTGACAGGCGACTTCCTGTAAATGCTCACGTGCACCAAAACTCAACAAGTGCCCCAGTTTACACCTAATAACTCGCCGGCTTCAAGGAAATGCTGATGTGCTGCTCTGTTAGAGAAAAAAAAATGACTGGAATTTAGAGGAATTTTGCATGAAAAATCAATAAAGATCATCAGGTTGCTTTGTGCAATCGTGCAGAGTAAATGTTTGGTTACAATTTTTTTTAAGCTGTTGTGATTTGCCTCAATCAGTTTGCTGAGTTCAGGCCAAGACTAAAGGTGGATTGGAACTCTAATCAGAATTCATCATCATCAGTTTCACAATTATTTACATAAAAWGCTGTGGATATGTGTAAGTGCAAATKAGCTGTAATGCATACTATCCTAATATTTAATTCTCACCCTGTAGCCACTACAAACAGATTTTTTTAACTTAATAAGACACTGTTTGGCATGATCCTACGCCCCCGCCACCTCCAAAAAAAAAAAAAAACTTCCACCATTATTTAAACGCTGTTTATTGTTACAATAATCAACAATACTGAGTATTTTGTCATTAGATTACTTAACGATCCTCGCCCTGACCGGTGTGCATCTGATGCTTACTGTTTAAGAACATGCCAGAAAAACACATATTGTAACATTCCAGGGGGATTCATTCTAACTTGACGGAATTGTTAGTGTGTGAAAAAAAAAAAAAAACGGTGGAAGGGCACAAATGATAGGATCTTTTTTTAAGTTGCAGAACAGGCAGAGCGGTAATAGTTTCATTCAGGCATATTTAGATAAAAATGTGCTGTTTTTTTTCTCATCACAATCCCTTCTCTGTTTTGCAACTTGTGTTTCATAGGAACTGGATACACACAATTGAGAAACTAAACACCCAAAATGTTTTTTCCTGTTACGTGGATCCACCTAAGTGCTGTTAAAAAGCCCATTGGTGCACAGAATGAAGGGAAAACCACGAAATTGGGAAGCCAATTGGGTACATATTTATTTAAATTTATTTTGGATTATTTAAAAAGGCAAATTGTGTGCTAAGATTCTTTACATTTGTATTATTGTTTAATAATTTTTTTCTTTCATTTAATTGAGGTGGAAAACAAGTTGAGTTCATTGGTTTTAAGTCTGACTTTGTACTATTTTTATAACTGCATCCACAT